GAGGAGAAAATGGAATCTATTCTACTTATATATTACGATTTTCTTATTTTTTTTCCTGATTTTGATGTTTCTAAATTGCAAATAGAAATTCAGCAAAGGGTGGATTGTCTAAACAATGTCATCTCTGAATGCAAAGCATGTAAGTTTATATGTGATAAAGAAGATTACGAACATTCACATGTATATGTTTGGCCACTTCCACAAAATTTAAAAAAGAGTAAAAAGATAAAAAAAAAAAAAAAGATGAAACCCATTATTAAGAAATTAAGAGTCTTATTCAACATAAAAATGTGAGCTTCAGTGACAGAAGCTGAGACCACAGACTTTGACCTAAGTACCCGTTTGTCACTTGTCCAGTGTCTCTGAACCAACTCACACAGACAAGGAAAAAAACTGGAGACATAAATGGTGCCACCAAGAAGGTGAACCCACTACTTTAGGATCAGTAAAACTACAGACAGTACTAAATTTATCACATAAAAATATTACTCACTTACAAATCAGTAAGTTCTTCAAAAAAGCCTGAACATTGCTCCAACTCATGATTTTAATTTATTTCACACTGTGGCAGGTGTTAATCAGTTTGTTAGAAAACTAATTCTCTCTGACCATTTCTCCCAGGTAACATCTAAGGAGGATTACCTAATGAGGTTCTGTCTGATCGTCCAGCCTTGTTTTCAAATCACATAGGTCAATTTAATTTAGAGTTATTAGCTTTTGATAGTAATCATGAAGCTTTACAGGTAATTGATAATAGCTGTGTAACAGATCGCATGCCACCCCGACTGGGTACCTCCGTTGATGGATGCTACTAGTGCTTTCTGAGGGCTCCAAGCACTCCACTTGACACCATAAGCACTGCAGACCCCACAAATGAGCTTGGTTGTGGTCTCGCCGTCTCCTACCCACCCTGGACCTACAACAAGGCTCCAGGTTCCAGTGGGTGAACCTCTCTTTCCCCAGAGAGTGGAGCAGGAACAGGAACAAGCTCTTAGAAGAGCTTAGTGATTATAGTAAGGGAGTATGAAGAACATAGCAATCCCTTGTAGCAGATTCTCCCCAATAAGAGACAGAATCTTTTCAACTGTTGGGTTGCAGGTTCAAATCCTGACAGGGTTGACTAAGCCCTTCATCCTAAGGAAACATCCACAGGATGTACTTGAAAACCAAAGTAATCAGAATGCACCTTTCCTGGATAAATACTTTGTTATTATTATATACGGTTCTCAGTGTTAGCTGGTGTATCTATGAATTTTGTCTAATTTGCCAGCACTACATGAAAATGCAAGCCTGCATTAAAATGCCAATATAACATACAAGTGAACCTTAGGAGTTAAAATCAAATACCACACACAAACATATCACAATATTCATATGACAAGACAACACATAAATGCACCATTGTATCAAATTAGCAACAGTGCATATAAACAACAAACATACAACTGCATTCAAATGCCAACGTTTAGCACAAATGCATTCCTTTATTTACACACATGCTTCTCACAAAAACATGCTTACGTTCAGACATTGCTCACAAATACAATCTTGCAAGGATGGAAAATTGGCTGTTAAAGAATTATGAGAGCTGATGAACTACTTTTTTGCCACTCTTGCACCACAGTACGGCTCATAAAAACCTAGTACCAGGGCCCTCTATCTGCATTAGTTCTGCCACTGTGAAGGAGAATTAGCAAGTGAAAAATTGAGATAGCTAATTAGGGTTTGCGTTTTGATTGGCCCTTACTTATCATTTTGTCCACAAATAGCACCTGTTTTTTTCTTAAATAAACCTTCCATGATGATATCTGCTAGGCCAACACAGGTAGAACACCTTAACAGAAAGTGTCCTTGGGAAAGACATCTAGTGACATATATCTACCTGCCTGAAAATCCTCATAGATCGCAAGCTTTTTCAGCAGGGCCTTCTTTACCTCTAAATATCACCCTTTCTGTAACTGTAGTGCACCGCGCTATATAAATGCTAATAATGAATATGAGATATTTCATAAATATACAAATATAGATTATTTTTTTTCTACTGCTACTCCTTTTTTCCCTCTGTCACTTTTCACTTGATCTGTGAACAAAATCAACATGTAGTGGCTGTCATCTAGCCACCAATCATCATTTTTTTTCTCATCAATTATCTCTTTCTTTTTTGCCATGAGCAAAAATCGACATATTGTTCGGCCAATCTGCTAGTCTTTTACTCAGATATATATCCATATGGCACTTGGAGATACACAATTCGGCCTAATACGGATGCAAAAGTCTATGTGAAAGATAGCAGTTTCTATATTTTGTATCCTACTGTTTCTTACACTGCAAAATCGGCAAAGAAGTAACAAATAATAACAGAAGCCTTCATCAGTCAGAGGGACTGATTTCAGTTCCATCAGATAAATGTATTTCTCCACTAGATGAAGGACTGTGCATGAGCAGAGGAGAATGTAAAGGAGATGTAGATGGTTATATTTTGCTTTGTATTGTTTTACGAAAAGAATATAAATTAACACATGTAAACAAGGGGTTGGGATTTAGTAAAAGATTTACATTGTAATCAAATTATATTGTATTTGGATAATTTACATAATTTGGATAATTTGATTTTAATGTAAAAGATTCTAATAATGTATTTTAAGGCATTAAACATTTCCAGATTTAATTTAAAAAAAAAAACAGAATCATTATTTTCATTGTACAATTCATTTTCATATTCATATTCAATTTTACAAAATGCAATTTAATAAAAACACCATTAGCTATTAACAACTAATTCATCTCTTCATCTATAAAACTTTAAAATACTATAAGTATTCATTAAGCAGGATTTTACAAACACATTGAAACATTCCTTTGAACAAATGTGGCCACTCTTTGTTGTTCTCATCCTTTAATTAGTTACCTTAAAATGTAATTCATGAGCAACATACACTAATGACAATTTGATGATAGTCATTCAGCACTAACGTAGCCTAAATAATAAGGTTTCTATGAAAACTCCTAGTCATAATGACTTCCTTCTTAATTTAAATTTTCATTACTCGGTTATATTAAATTATATATATATAATATATATTATTGAATTAATGTATGGGCAGATAATGCTTTTCTGTAATAAAGTGAAATACATTAAAATTAGAAATAACAAAATATCATTATTTTACAGGCACACATAAAATCCACATTATGATTTGTTACAGTACCCTTACATGATATTGATTAATAAATGTTACACATAGATATAAATGTATTACTCTTCCCAGTCCTGACATGTGAGTAAGGGCATTATGTCAAGTGGACGTTGAAGGAAGATATGTGAGGTCTATCTGGAAAGTATCCAGCCATGTAATATGAAAAATAAAGACATTTATTGAAGAAGATATTGGAAACATTGTACCTAGGACAATGACACCTCGGTTCCCTTCACCTTAGAACCTCACATAGTTCCCCAGCATCTCTTCCACTGTTCAAAATTCTCTGCTAAATTTTTTGTTGGAATCGCCATTAGCTGCCTTGTCACATTTACCTGAATCTAATCAACGGTCTGAAATCTCTTCCCTTTCAAAGGTGATTTTAGTTTTGGGAAAAGCTATAAGTCACAGGGTGCCAAATCTTTCAATAGATTCTTTATCATCTTTAAAGCATTTGTGCAATACCTTTATTCATGCTGCATTCATTGCATCATCCCCAAAAACATCTGAATAGTTGAGGAATGCTCAAGCTTAATGCAAAATAATTTTATGCACATCTGTTGCTCTACTCACTCAGTCATTTTGAATGTGATGGCCACACAGGACACATGCTTACTCAATGATGACTAGAGCCCCCACTGACTAGTACAATGAAGTTATTATTGTTCATGTATATTCCAATACACTCTCCTTGGCTACTAGATTACATTGATGTCTTGTTTCAGACAGACCTTGTATATTATTTTCAAAGTCCAATACAAGGGTACTACTATGTCATTGCAGGCTTGTATTGCCATTTTAAAAAAAAACAAAAAACAAAAATAACATATATTAATATTTTGGGGAAAGTATGAGTTATTCAATGTAATCATGGAAAAGTGAACATAGTACAACCCAATAAACAGGAATTGACTGTATCCAGTAATAATTTTCTCTTTGTCTTTTTCCTCCTGCAACAGTGACACATTTAAGGACTGAGACATCCATTGGGGCACATTGTGTCAAATGTAACCCCTGAAGTCATCTAGTGGTCCCAGTAAGACACACAGTCTCCACACTTCTTAAATAAGGACACCATTCATTTTTAGATATGCGGATAGCACATTATGCTACCCCTTTCTTGCAAAATTATAATAAAACAAGTAAGAGTGCTTTGTGGAACCATCCATACCCATAAATCAGTAGACGAAATACTCAACGGAGCTGGGAAAAATGGTAAAGGAGAGTAGGGCAGTAAGCTGCTGTGGAAAACAGCCCATATTGCAGAATGTTTAGTGACAAGTGAGAGCTTTCTCATTACCTCCCCCATACATATGTCTAAAATTGTGACTGTCTTTTTTGATGTTGTGCTTTTAAGCATGTATGTTTGCTTCAGTCTGCATGAATGAGTGAGTGACTCTATGATTGTCATTATATATGACTGCAAGTGCTTCTGTAAATGTAGTTCTTAGAAGAGATGCAACTGTTTGACTGAGTGCAGTGTCTGTATGAGCATATGAATCCATGAGCACGTGCTTTTATATGTGAATTAGGAAAACAAATTCTATTAATGATCAAAATGTTTGCTCACCACTGACCATTGGCAAGTAAAAATGTAACACTGTTGAGTAGATATTTAAACCTGGTGAATATGTCATAGACTCTCCAAGCTTGCAGTGTTGAGTAACTTGTAAATCTTGGCTAGAAGCATGGAACTTGACATTTTAAGCCCCATTTAAATATATATAAATCAGTAGTGATGTCGCGAACTGTTCTCGAACTTGCCGCAAAACGGTTCGCCACGAACCGTTCGCGGCGAACTGCGGTCACCTGACACATCCCTGCCAATCTCCGGCAGACCCTTCCTCCCAGACCCTCCCACCTCCTGGACAGCATCCATGTTGAAGCTGCCTTCGACATGGATGCTGTCCAGGAAGTAGGAGGGTCTGGGAGGGAGGGTCTGCCGGAGATTGGCAGGGATGTGTCAGCTGACCGCAGTTCGCCGCAAACGGTTCGCGGCAAACTGCGGCGAACCGTTCGCGGCAAGTTCGCGAACGGTTCGCGACATCACTATAAATCAGTGCTTAATTGCCTGAGGAATTTGGGAATGTGAATTAGAGAGAGAATGATAAATTACAAAGAAATAAGGGGTTCTAAATCAGGGGGAAAATGTAATTACAGGAAAGTCTATAAATCGAGTTTAGGGAGGGAATGAGTTACCATATATACTCGAGTATAAGTCGACCTGAATATAAGTCGAGACCCCTAATTTTACTTCCAAAAACTGGGAAAACTTATTGACTCAAGTATAAGACTAGGGTGGGAAATGCAGCAGTTACTGGTAAATTTCTAAATAAAATTATATCCACAAAAAAATTATATTAATTTAATATTTATTTACAGTGTTTGTATATAATGAATGCAGTGTGTGTGTGTGTATATAATGCAGTGTGTGTATGAGTGCAGTGTGTGTGTTTATAAACGCAGTGTGTGTGTGTGTATGAGTGCAGTGTGTGTGTGTATGAATGCAGTGTGTGTATGTATGAATGCAGTGTGTGTATGAATGCAGTGTGTGTGTGTGTGTGTATAATGCAGTCTGTGTGTATGAATGTGGTGTGTGTGTGTATGAATGCAGTGTGTGTGTATGAGTGCAGTGTGTGTATGAGTGCAGTGTGTGTGTGTGTGTGTGTGTGTGTGTGTGTGTGTGAGTGCAGTGTGTGTGTGTGTGTATGAGTGCAGTGTGTGTGTATGAATGCAGTGTGTGTGTGTATGAATGCAGTGTGTGTGTGTGTGATGCAGAGTATGTTTGTGTATGTGATTCAGAGTGTGTTTGTGGGTGTGATGTAAAATTCAGACCAGAATGGCCAAGTCAGAGAATCTAACTTTAGATACACAGAAAATATGTCCAGCATAAAACAGTCTTAGTTCAATAAACATAAACATTTTTGTGCATATTAGATTATTAAACTTATATATATTAATATGTGTTCTGATATATTGCAGCAAAGCTTTTATCTCTGATTCATATCATTCTGTTTTACTTTCAATAACCTATATCTCCAGATAGGTAATTACAATTCATGACATCTGCACTTACTTTTAAAAAAACTAAGCAGAAACTGAAATCCAAATTATTGCATTTCATGCAGTTTTAAAAGGTTTGTTTTGACAATAAAATGCCCTTTAGTTCTTATAGCTATTGTCTAAGGACAATAGAAAGCATGGACAATTTTAAAATATCTTTTCACCTAGATTTCAATTTCTAAGCATTGAATCCTTAATTGTTTATTGCGTCTAACCTTGATTTATTTATAAACGTTAAATTAATTACCCATTATAAATTTAGTAACCAATGTCACATAATTCTTGATTTCAAAGCAGTGATAGGGGATCCAGGATGTAAGTTGACATACCACAGTGGCGTACTAAGGAGGGTGCGGGGGGGGCGGTCCGCCCCGGGTGCCACCAGGATGGGGGGTGCCATGACCAGCCCCCCCGTACCCCCCCACGCTGCAGCCGCCCAAGCGCTCTGTAGAGAGCCTCAGGCGGCTGCAGCTTTGCCCGGGCGGTGCGTCCATGAGGGCGGACCGCACCGCCCGGGCGCAGCATGGGGAGAAGCTGACAGGAGGGAAGCGCTCAGCGCTCCCTCCTGTCAGCTTCCTTTGCTGTAGCGTGGCAGAGCCCGGCAGCATGGTCCGACGGGT